TTTTATCAAAAATCAAAGAGCGAATAAATGTGGTAGGGTAACTACAGTGTTTATATAGTCAAAATATGTGACAAATTTGTCATTAAGGGGACAGTCTCATGCGATTAAAAAAAACACATATTAAAATTAAAGCAGAAAAAAAAACTATAATATTTATAAACATAATTCCTTTTGGAGATGATTAAGTAAGTCTTGAAGTACATAAAAAAAAATTTTAATAGCGATTTTAACTTCATTGGTGTCCTGTAGATGGCGTGTAGTAAAAAGTGCGTTTTTGGTGGTAAGACACTTTTTGGGTCACCTGTAACAGATATTCAAAAAATTCAAAATGGGTTGTATTCGTGAGACTCAAAACTAGATGATAAACCTTTAAAATATGAAAATTGTATTATTTTGAAGAGTTTATACGATTTTTTTCAAAAAAGTCGAAAAATCGCTATATTTTTCGGTAGATTTACCCATCTATAATAAAAGGGGGGGTGGTTTTTAAATATTTTAAAGGTTTATCATCTAGTCTTTTGTATATACATTCGAAAAATTTTTGGTTTTTTAAAATCGGTTAAGAAGGTTCGGAGAAAAGTGTCTGACCAGTTTGAAAATGTTACTTTTGAGAAAAAAGCATTTAAAGTTTTTTTTACATAATTTTCGTGAATTAAAGGCTGATAACTTTATACTCACGTTTAATCGGCCATTCCTGGTAAATATTGAGGACCCTCTTCATCCAACAGTTGTTGTAAATGGCTTTGTAAAGTTTTTTTCTTTTTGATTTGATGTTTTATAATTAATTCATTAGTTCGACTGGAGCCTCAATTCACGCCGCGATGCTGCCAGTGTAAGTGTAAAAACGGAACACACCTAGATCGCATGTCAATTCAACGAAAACGTACTTATTTATAAATGTAGATATGAAAATATTTTATAACTAAAAAAATGGTTATGTTTTATTGCCAAAACGGCTTGAAAAAAAAGTTGATTTCTAAAATTAAAAATAAAAAGGAATTTTAAAAATAAAATAATTATATTACACTCTTTTTAATTTAAACAATATTTGGAATAATAAATGTATTTAAATATAAATTTTATAACTCAAATAATACCTAATGAACACAAACAAAATTGATGTTAATAAAACATTATTTATTATCTGCACAAAACCGGACTTTCAGGAAAAATCGGTAGACGGAGCAACACTGTCGGCGTGCCATATACGCTACTACAAACCGCTGAGGAGAAGTAATCCAGTGAACAAATAAATTAGTTATAAAACATCGCGGCGTTATAAAGAAATTTACACTGGTTAATTGCAACGCAGAGAATCTTAGTATTTATAAAAAATCCTATGTTCCGGATTTAAAATTCCAAATGTGTATAGTAACTGCCAAACGTTATACAGATATACATACTATATAAAAATGAATCACTAATACATACCCAACGTATATACAACATATATACAAAAGCAACAACAGCTGGAGCCTCGCGCTCGCCGCACGGAGAGAAACCGGTTTTCATACGTGCGTAGCTGACGTTAATAAAATAACTATAACTTATATTCTAGTGGGAATTTCTTTTTAAAATTTTAGAAGTGAGTTTTTGAATGTAAATGGAAGCGATTTATGTAAAAAAAAATTTTTGATTTTTTGAAAGTTTCGCATGAGACTGTCCCCTTAAGATTTAATTTAAAAGTACTTTAACGACACGACTTAATAATCACCTCATAATTTTCTCGGATTATGGGAAATCCTTTCAGTCAGATTAATTTAATCTTTTCTGTAGAATTTTGAACCAGTAATTAAAAAAACATTAGTAGGTATACCGATAATTTTAATTATAAGCACAAACTTAAAATGAATTAGCGAAAATATACAAAAACTTGTGTTAAACCTCAAAAACTATAAGGCGCTTAGGAGATGCAGGACTTTTTACCACCACTGTAGTTTTGAAAGCTTTACCATTAGCGGCGAAGGGTTTGGAAATATACCTGTCGACGCTCGAATCTTCGGAGAGGTCACAGGACGGGGACCGGTTGCAAGACATTTTGCAAAACGTAAAAACATAAAAAATCATAAAAAAAAACATCAAGGGAACATAAAACTGCATTCACCCCCGTGGCTCCAAGACAAATTAATTTTTTTTTTAAAATCACTGAAAAGTGGGGTGTCATGAGTTGCAATTGCGACGTCGACATGGAGGAAAGCCTGAACTGTAAACGACGCTTTACGACGAAGGGAAGGGAGGGTATTAAAAAATCCAAATTTTTTACGACGTACATTATGGATGTTATGCCGGGTCCAGACCAAACAGACAAAACAAAAACATTCATGTTTCGCGACAAAGTGGCGACAAATCGAAAACATTTGTTGAGACATTTCTGAACAATTTTGTTTTGTTTGCAAATTTGAAAACTTTTTCAGGTCCCGTCTCAGGTCGGTAAAGATCAAAAAGTCTGTGTTTTGTCTGTGTATTTGACGACAAGTTGTCGGCGCAGTGTGGACGCGTGTGCGTGCCAAAACGAGTTAAGTAGTAAGAGAAGTAGAATGTACAATGTTTATCAAAATTAAGTGTATTTTTCTGTTACTTAGTCTCAACACAAATGTTCACTCAACTCCATCCAACTCCAACCCACAACATTTGTACTCAAATCCACCCAGCACTGACACCCAATATTCATACTCAAATCCTCCCAACATTGACACACGTGCATACTCAACTCCTCCCAGCATTGACACACATTTATACTCAAATCCACCCAGCATTGAACATTTATACTCAAATCCACCCAACACGCAACATTCATACTCAAATCCACCCAGTGCTGACCCACAAAATTATTACTTAAATCCACCAAACACCAACACACAACCTTTATTTTCACATCCACCTAGTATTGACACAGAGCTTTCTCAGTATTCAGATCAAGAAAACAAACGAAATTGATGATGAACTTTTTGAATGTAAAAACAAGTAGACTCGTCATTATTTTGCATGTAGTATGTACCTATCGTCAACTTCTTTTGTATTAAACATTTAACCAATAAATATGGAGTTTATTTTAAGGGATATTAACAGAAAAATAGTAATGAAAAAAGTTTAACATACCTGTACATAACCACTAAGACTGTTAATTAAAGCTTTACATACTTCAGGTATTATTACAGATATTGATTGCTTTGATACTTTTGAAAGATACATTAGGCTGTGGTAGGAATCACCTGTTGCTAAAAATCTTACTTAAAGTGATTGCTAACCTTTCTGTTACACTCATAGCATTTCTAAAGTTAGTATGTTTTTTTGCAACTGCAGGACCAACAAGGCATATTAGATTCTCAAAATTGTCGGTGGACATTCTTAAAAAAAATTTGAAGCTTGATCGAATTTCACCACTTAATCCAATATCATCTGCTCGCAGCTGAACTAACAATTTGTCTATCGAACAACTTTCTCGCATTTTTAGGCTTGGTCTAATCCAAAAACGTTTGGGTTTTCTTTTAGCAACCGGGAATGATGATGAGAGCAAAAAAAAACTTGCGGCTAGCAATAAATCTTCAGTTTCATTTTTTTTCTTGATTAAAACGCCACGTAGTTAACCAACACTAATCACAACAACAACGTCACCAACTGAATTTGTTTTTATATTTTGTTGTTCTGGTGTGGACAGTTTGTCTCAATTTTGTTTTGTCTTTTGACGACAAATTTTGTCACCGGTTTATCGTGTTTTCGTTTGGTCTGCTTGGTCTGGACCCGGCATTACATGAGCTGTACATGTTACAGAGATAGTAACGGAATTTTAATAAAGTATCAGTAAAAATGACGTCAGCAACACATAATTTAATGTCAACAATGGAGCTCTCCCGACAGCAATAAAATACTTAAGATGCTCCTTAAATAAACATTGGAATCACTCAAAAGAAATAAGATGCATAAAGTACTCTGTAATCCTTCCCTCGATATCCATACCATGTGATTCCAAGGCAATCAAGTCTTTGCACCTTGATTACTTTGATTATGGTACTTTTTTGCTAAACCTTTAGCTGCCATACCACTGAGGCGTATGTAATTGTTGGTTTTACCACCATGTTATAAATCTAATATAACATGTCTGGTTTTAAACCTCGCATTACCATTAAAGTAGTTACAACTCTCTTGCTTATTTGCTTTATCTACTGATTCCAAGTTAACCTTGAATGTAATATTACCCCAAGGTACTTTACTTCACTCGCCAATTTTAAATTTCTATCAGTCAGCCTTTTATTTAAGTTTTTTGGTTATTTCTTATTCTCATGTGGTTGGTGATTTTTCGTTTTACGAGGTATAAGCCTGTCTCTATGAACAAAGTATGTATAGTACATTTGTAGGGTGTTAACCTTTGTGAAAGACTCATTTATCTTGATTTGGGACCATCAACAGCAATGTCAAGTTACTCGGATCGCCAACGGTACTGCTGGTGGAGTTCTGTACTAACGTAGATAAATTAATCAAATTTTATAGCCTAAAATATCTTAACTTTGAAAACTTAAAGGCAGATATCGAACACAATTTTATTTTTCAAAGTTCATTTATTCGAGCATTCAACATTATATCAATTTAAAATATCTTACTTAAACTTATGTAAAACCATTAATACAGTGCTTATAAAACCAACATAACTAAAAAAACCGCGCTTCCTTAATGTATGAAATTCCGCAGTAAATTTTACAGTAGTTTAAAGATCTTACAGAATTCTGATTAGATATCTTTTTTTAGGTATGGTGATACCTTCGTTGTGATGTGTTTTTACATTTTGAGTTTAATCTGGTATTAGAAGGATTCGCCGGATACTAGTAGACGTTTACATAGGACTCCGTCAACGGTGTCTGCTAATCTGCAGTTAATTTAGTAATATTGATTTCGCGGAGAGTCCTTCTTTGTCCCATATATTATATTGTGATAGATGATATCTTAAAAATATACTCTTTACACTGACAGCCTAATTTTTAAGTTATCGTTTTATTTTTTTATAGAAAAATGATTCCGCTATTACTTCTGTTGATACCATATTGTTCTGCGATAACATTAGATGTATTTAAACAAGAACCGCATCCATTATCTGATGAATTCATTAACTCTATTAATGAAGCGAAATCCACATGGACTGCAGGAAGAAATTTCGCGCCTGACATTTCGATGGAATACATCACTAAATTGATGGGAGTACTACCTGACCATAAGAACTATATGCCTCCTGTATTGACCCATAAACTTGAAGGTAAGAGCATAATAAGTATTTAATTTTCATTCTTCTCATGGCGCCGTCTCCTTTCGAAGGTTGGTGATCTAAATGGCAATTGTGGTTTTGGAAACTGCTGCGCGAAAGATTTCTGTGGATGAGCGGTCGAACCATCTCCTCAGGTCTTTCAGCCATGAGTTCTGGCGTCTTCCTACTGATCTTTTGCCCTGTACTTTTCCTTCCAGTATAACTTAATACCTTCCGAATACCTATAACAAAATACCTTCCGAAGTGGAAATTGAAACGTCAATAAACGTATTTTTATCTTTAATTGTGGCTTATTCCCAGTTAAATAGTAATTAATTTATAATGCCACAAGAAAATAGCTTCAGAACAATAATATTTAAAATAGTATGACTGTCTAAATAATACTGATGTTCCAGTCTTCTGGCTCTATTTGGACAGAAATAGAAAAATCAAATATCAAAACTATAAGCATTGTAGGCTTTCTTACATAACATGATAATACTAATAATTTCATATTAAAATATTATAAAAAAATTAAAAATACTATTGTATGTATACCTACATAGTATTCCAAATACTATAAAGTTTTTAATATAATTAATCTTTTTTAAAATATCTTATTAATAAAATATTAATGGAGCATTAGAAAATGGAGAAAAAACCATTTAGTAATATTCGAAATAAAATATTTAAAAATATATATCAAACATATGAGAAGGACAAAGTTTATGACCTTAAAATTTGCGTTAAGTCTATCTACCTTCAAGCAGATCGATCTTTAGCTAATGTTGACCTTTTTCTGACTTCCAGCTTCCACAAAAATATCCTTTAGTACTGTAGATTCAGCGAACACGAGGACATCTTCTATGCCTTTTACTTCTTTGTAATCATCGGTAGTTTTTAACCGATCACAATTGTGGCATTTGTTCCATATTATTGGTCCATTATAGTCTGGCTGCTTTGATCTCCGCTACCATGCCAGGTTCTCCATATACCATACCTACTTCTTGCGCCACACCACTTGGCCCTGAATGATTCCAATTGATCGATAGATTGATTTTGATTTAGAAAAAATGGAAATGAAGGATAGTCTTGAATGTCATACATACACTTCCCTTGCTCCAAGTGATAAGGCTATTAAATTTTGATTCAATAGATTAAAAGCCACCAAAGTTACATGAATGCATCATCAAGAAGCAGATCCAACCAGAAGTAAATAATTCTAGGCCATAGACTATAAATTCGGGAAGTAGCTAGACTCGGCACTAGATCTATACTACGTTCCACGTTTAGAAAATAACATTGCGGAGATAGGACCATGTATTTCTTATGGACGATAGCAACGCGGCGTTGCCACGACACACACAAGCACAATTTAGGGTTGTATAATTTGTATTTTCGTTTCCACAAACATGAATTAAATTAATGTTTTTTAACGTAATTGACCAAAAGTGTCCATTCGAAACAAGAGATGAAAAGTAGGAAAAATGATTTTAATTAGATAAATAGTATTTACAAAAGATAATTTTATTTTATCTTATTTTAATTATAGTAACGACAGTTTATTTGTTTTTCGGTGAGAATATGATATGCCATGAATCATAGAAATCAGTAGAAAATATTGACGGCTTGGAATGCGTATATCTAATTACTAATTGCAACTTAAAATAATATGATGTGCGTATGTCAGCTATTTTATGTCGTTCTCTGACTACATAATGATAATAAGGCTTTTATTAAGTAGTTATTCTGACTTTACAATTAAATGTTAATTGAAAATGAAAATTCAAAAATTAAGCAAAGGGAATATCTTGGACATCTGTGCAAAAGAGAGTGTCTGAGAGTTTTGGCAACACTGATCTCCATAAGCGTAATGTTATTTTCTTAACTTGAAACAAAGAATAGGACAAACAGAAGTAAACCATACTGTGGTGATTATATTTAAGTTTTAAAACCATCCAACGCATGATGTGCATGGAAGTCAAATTCTTTGAAGTTTTTCTGAATTTGATATGCTCCGGTACATGGTTTTCATGTTTAATTCTTGAATCTATGAATCAACCTTTACTTCAATCAGACAAGAATTTGGACTAACATTCAAGCTATGTTTTTGAGGTTCAAACACCGTTTTGAGTACACCTAACCTAAAATTTATTTTACATAAAAATAAATTTTTAAAACATTCTAATACTGTTTTAATAATAGTAATTTTATATAGACAATTATTTATCTGGTCGGCTGTTGTAATATCCAAATATTCATATCTATATATTTATTATTTGTAGCTCTAGAAATTCCAGCCGCTTTCGATGCTCGTCAGCAATGGCCACATTGCCCAACAATTCGGGAGATAAGAGATCAGGGATCATGCGGGTCATGCTGGGTACGTATATTTTGATACTATATATTTTGTAAATAATGCCAAATACTGCGACTTTTTGCGTATATAATTCATTAAAACGTTTGATCTACTTTTTGAACTTATAAAATTTCATAGCAATAATATCAGATTGCAATTAATCTGCATATTACAGATTATGCAGATCATAGCATAATCTGTAAAGGGCCTTTGTAATTTTTTTGAGTCTATTATTACGAGCAACTCAAAGGTTTTGAATATTTTTCAAGAATCTGTTTAATCACACCAAACGTGACCCCACAGCCCGACCCGTTGTGGGTGTGTAGGAGGGCAACTTAAAAATCCTAAATAGGAACCGCATTTTTATTGCAGATTTGGATTCCTTATGAAAAAATAAGTAACTTTTATTTATTTTTATTATTCGAAAAATTTTTCTGAATTTTTGATAGATTGCGCTATAATCGGAAAACTAAGATTCATTCTGATAACCTAGAAAAATTATGGAAACGATCTAATATCTCGAGAAATACAATATTAAATGAAAAACCAAAAAATAGATGATTCATATTTTTCAAAAATCTATCGAGTGACAACAAATACGCCTTCTTACCTCCACGTCCTGGGGGTGGGGTGGCGGCCAACTGTGAAATACCTAATATAGAAACCCCCATTTTTTATTGCAGATTACACCATAAAAATTAGTTAGCAGATTTCTAATGCTGTGATTACTTCTGACTCTTGTATTTTCTGAGATTACAGCACCATGTATCACGAATGAAAACAAAATTTAGATAAAGCTTGTTTCCTTTGTTTACTTAGAATCCGAGTCTGCCGTAAAAAATGGAGTTTTCTATATGAGATTTGAAAGTAGCCCCCCCTCCCCATCCCCAAGGGGTGGAGCTAAAGGGTAGTGTTTGATGTTATTATATAGATTTTTGAAAAATAATACCCACGTGTTTATGAACTATGCACTTCACTATGTACAGGAATGGCATCTTTAGAGACTATCATAGGTCTCCTTTTGCTGGAATTATAAATCAGATTTTTTAAACATAGAAAACCGGAATTTGAAGTGTACACAATATCATACTGTTAACAGTATGAATCATAGCTATTTTATGTTATCTAAAACGTGGTGACTAATTGGTATTTCAAATTAAAATTAATAATATAATTTCCATTGTTAAACATAATAGTTATTTTAACGAAAATATTTATTGTATGATTTATTACAGCGTGAATAACCTATATGGCAGTTCGATGTATTTAGTAGTTCGACGTTAGATGTTCTAATTACGAGGATTTCTTATTTTATACTAATTTAGGGCCGCTTTAACAAATACCGCCACTTTTAATTAAAATTATAAACCTTACAGGACTATTATTGGTTTATCACCTGGACGACGACCATTTTTGCTCTTCTACAACGAGGTAAAACATCCGATAGTCCCAGGATCTACAGACAAATGACTGTGCTGGCTACAACATGCAAGCTACTTGAACTAATATATAACAGAATCAACACGCGACTCTTCGAGATGATTTCTGTTGTACGAGCTGGGTTTAGACCCATAGGGAGCTGTGCAGACCAAGTCGTATCATTCACCACCCAAATCGAGACAGGATTTCAAAGAAAACTTAAAACCTCAGCTGCATTTGTTGATGATATTTAAGTTTCTTCATACAATTCAAAGTGACAGCCTGATTGATAGACACTATGCTTAATGATAGAATGTTACAAGTCATCATGGGATCCAGTAGCAGCTTCCCAACAAAACTAAAAAACATGCTACCACAGGAACCAGTTCTTACTCCACTATTCTTAGTTTGAGTTAGTTGAGTAGTAGTTAAAAAGTTTTACAGTTTAGACATACAAGCCAGATCAAAAAAATTTGGCTAAATAAGATATCCGATCTTAAAGCCATTAAAACTTCTAGAATCCAATAATAAACAGAATCCAGGAACATTTCCTTGCGCTCTATCTTCCTACCGATGTTGCTAGAGGATATGGAAAGGGAATCTTTGCTGATTAGGTGTGAGAACAGGTGTAGGACATAATGCAGAATCTAATAATTGTTATGACTCAATAACTTTCGAAGTAGATGACCTATTGGAAAAGCAATTAAATTAACAGGAAGATTCTGACTGTCAAGTTTAACGAATTTTAGTTCGGCTAATGGATTAAGTCCACAGTCAAAAGAAACCAACAGCACTTCTTCTTCCGGTTCCTTCTCCTAGCGGAGGTTGGAAATCATCATCGCTATTTTAACTTTGTTGGCCGCATTTCTGAATAATTCTAATGAGCTGCAGCCGAACCACTCTCTCAAATTTCTTAGCCAGGACATTTTGCGTCGTCCTGGGTTTCTCTTCCCTTGTATCTTCCCTTGCATAATCAACCTCAGTAATACACCAACCTAACCAACAGCACACACAATAACAAAAAATACCAAAAAATATTTAATTAATTAGTGATGTAGTAGTGTAATATCAAAAAAATAAAAAACACAGTGACTGTTACTTGGCAGTTACTTTAATCATAACAATCAAGTTTTTACTATTGTTGAATATATCGGAATATAAGCAGATAGCCTATAAAAACTAGAACAGGTCAACTCGTTCTACTACGAACTATGAAACTTGTTTGCTAGGACTGTACTTCAATGAATTAAATGATAACTAAAAATGAATAGTTCTATTCAATCTGAAATTTCTACTGCTAATAATACACAAAATACAAAACATTATTAGATAACCCAAACTCCAACTACCCTGTATACAGAAGAAGCAGCGAGGACAAATGCACTCGCATAAGAAAAAAATAATAAATCAAATCAACCCAGACCTTCAAACAGACTCATCTTCAACTCTCTAATTCAATGAAACATAAATGGGTATTATGCTCCTGTGAAATCATAATAAAAAATGTGAGTGAAATATTTATGGTCAACATCCTCCAACCTAACTTATGACAGTTCCTAAACAAAGACACAAGGATGTCCAAACCCTATCTCCCAGCTTGCTAATTATCCATCATTCTACTCTCTTCTGTCAGAATTCACAGTCAAGATGCAGAACCCCTTTGCATTTTACACTGCTACGGAATAATAAGTACCTTTAATAAAAATCAAAAGTAGATATTTTGAATACTTCAATCTAAAATTGGCATTCCTGTTGTTTCACCCTCAAAAACAAAATTATGGAATATTGTTAATGCTGATCTTTTTAAATAGTTGCATCTGTTTTGATACATTTAATTATAAATATGTTTATTTACAGGCTTTTGGAGCAGTAGAAGCTATGTCAGACAGAGTGTGCATTCATTCTAAAGGTGAAACTAATTTCCATTTCTCATCAGATGATTTGGTTTCTTGCTGTTATTCGTGTGGAATGGGATGTAACGGTGGATTTCCTGGTGCAGCTTGGCATTATTGGGTCAGAAAAGGTCTTGTCTCTGGTGGTCAATATGGTACCAAACAGGTAAGATCAATCAGTTATTTTAATGATAATAATAATTCAGAAATACTTACATATTATACAGCATTGTACAGATATCTATACATTTTATTTATTAGTTTAACTCCTGTCATTATTTATAATTATTTTTCATATGAATCGAATTTTTATCTATAGTCCAATATAAAGCATTGTTTTGCTCTTCATAGCATCCATCAAAAATCCTATAAGATTTTTCGAAAACACAATATCTACTTTTTTTTAACCTACTTTCTTGAATATTGGATTAATTAATAATGAGATCTCTCTTGTGCAACTATTCAGCATCTTTGGACTCACAACCTCTTCATCACTGTAGATCTGTATATACAATTAAAGCAACTTCTTCATAGATATATTTTGCCACCTGAGGTTTCTCTGTAGAATTTCTTAACTAATCATGTTTGTGCTATTCTTTCATATACATCCATACACATGATATTTTTTGAAAGTGTCCATTTGACACATACTTGACAGCATACTCTTTCTTTTTTTTTATTGTAACAACTTTCATTTTATTGAACTTCTTTCAAATGAAAGTAGAAAGTAAAAATAAAGTTTTGTTTCCAAATTTAAAGCAATATTTAAGTAGCATTATAAAACTGATATAACATAAATAGATTTTGAAACAATTCACTAGCAGTTCTTACTTTAATCTTAAAAATATATGACTAAATAAATACTAGGCATACATATATACAAATAAAAATATTATTCTCATTATCTCATCTAATAGGACAAATAATTTCACTTCTCCTTTTTTGGTTTTGCAGACTCTTCCATCAATTCATATAACTGGCATATTTGATCATCTCGTAATTGATCTATTTCTTCTTTAGATAAGGTAGCACCTAATTTGTCAGTGCCAGTTTTTGGACCCCTTAGACCAAGCTGGTGAGCCAGAGTTATTGCATAATTCTAAAAAAAATTAGTTGATTAATTGATAGGTCTATAGAAAATTTAAAAAAATGGAAACTTTTAATGTTTAAAAATTCTTGCAAAGGGCATTTTTTGCTGAAACTGTAAAAAATAAATAAAAAATTCACGAGGACGATTTTCACATTTGGCCCCATTGAATATAGCCTCAAATTAGCTGTCAATTAAGTTTCACAGAACGAAAGTTTGCGTTGGCAGTGTTGCCATGTTCTTATAATGTATATGTTATATGCTTCAAATACAAAGAGATAAAGCTTTTAAAAGGTACATTTTTATCATATTATTTTGTGGATTCTGCAATTTTATACATTATATAAAATATTAATGAATATTGTTTCGTTTGATATTAGTTGTAATAAATGATTAGAAAATTTTGTTGGCAATTGCCCCTTGATAGGTTAACGGAGATATTTGGCAATAGAGTCAGAACCCTCAAACCACCAGTTGCCAGATTGCAAAAGATGCTTTTTAAATTTTATTATTTATACTGACATTTTACTATTTACTGTTAAAAACTGTTAAAACTATTTACTTACTCTTTTTTTCGTAATCGTTAAATATTAGTTTTTAAATATCTCATTGCTTTTAATTGCATATATTTCATTTGTAATGTAAATTTCAACACTGCCAAACACCAATATTTCATTCTGTCAAACCCATTTGAAGCTATCTTCAATGGGACCAAATGTGAAAATCATCCATTCACGATTTTCAAATGTCGACAATATAGGATTAAAACAATTTTGGTTATCAAATGTGTATACAAATGTGTGCACAAACAATAGCCAGAAACTACTGTTCACAGTTAACACTAGATCATCTACCTAAAATAAAACGGAATAAAGAAATCAAAGATACAAAAGAGAAATACAGGAAAGTCGAAAATGACATCAAAATTGATAAAAGGTTTTTAATCATGCAAAAATATATTCTAGTCCTAAAAAAACGATAAAAAGACTTACTGTCCACTCATTTATAAAAACTTGCGCTTCTGTCGTGTTACACTTTTTATGCCTCTTAAATTCATCCCTAGTATAACTGGTTCCTATAAGTTGCAATTCTCCTGGTAAGCCTCTGTGTAATTTAAGAATAGTTTTGTATAAAATTCTGACTCGTTGAATATGTGTATAAGACATTTCATCTAAGATAACCTTAGTTTAATTTATTAATTCTTCATTTAATTATAAAATCACTGAAATGTATGTAGGGTTAAAATTTAAAATTGGAATAAGATTTTAAAATGGTAAATAAAATCATATGATTGACATTTGACAACTGATGGATGGATGTACAAATATACAGGACACAGGTCTTTAACTGTTGTAGTCTGCCATCCAGGTACTCAAGTTTGGAATTTATTTTTTATACAGAGTGTGTCAGCTCTAAAATAACATACCAAGATTCTATAATAGGGATATAAAATTTCTTACTAGAGGTAGTTTTGTGTTTAGGACCTGTGTTCTGAAGTGAAATAATATATTGAAATTATTAGTTTCGATGTGTACTATACTTTTCGAGTTTGTACTGTTAACATGTAACAATCAGAAAGTGCAGTATTCTTATAAAAATTGTAAATAATTGACGTAGCCTCTAAACTTGTTATTTGGTGATATACTCAATGTATGGTAAATGAAATTTAGACAGTTTAGACTTACTTGGCCCCGGTCTTGAAGGCATTGGCGACATTTATACTTCTAGAGCTGAAAGTCTTGAAAGGCGTCATTATATCTTCGATTGATATCAAACTCTGATATTTCTGTGTTTATTGTTAATTATAGATGATGTGTCATGGACTGTTACCTTTCACATAACTTCTTTCAATATCAGTATTCAAATCTTGCTACGTTCTATTGATGTATAAAAATTCTCACATTCACAAGGTATTTTATACATACAGTTCTTTGATCTTTTATGTTCATTTATCCCATTTGAAAACACAGCTTTTAATCCAGAATGAAGCCTACATTTTTATATCTTCCTGTGTATGTGGCATCACCATATTTTATCTATATCATGTTTCTTTCTACCAAAATAACTAATGCATATAAATAATTTGTACTTTTTCTTTACAGGGTTGCCGGCCATACGAAATCCCTCCTTGTGAACATCACACAAATGGATCACGTCCATCCTGCGATGCTTCAGAAACTAACACTCCAAGGTGCGAAAAACAGTGTGAAAGTAACTACAAGATCGATTACAATAACGATTTGCACCGTGGGTCCAAAGCTTATTCCATAAGTAGTGACGTCAAACAAATACAGGCTGAAATATTACAAAATGGACCCGTAGAAGGAGCATTTAGCGTTTATGCTGATTTCGTGAACTATAAAACTGGTTGGTACTATTCTTTTGTGGTAAAAATATCTTCTTCTTTAAGTGAACTCTTCAGTACTGATCGTTTTGTCTAATGTCTTAAATTTTTAGGGGTTTACCAACACATACAAGGAAAATTCTTAGGAGGTCATGCTATCCGTATTTTCGGTTGGGGTGTAGAAAACAATACCCCATACTGGCTCATCGCTAATTCCTGGAATACCGACTGGGGTGACTCTGGTACCTTCAAAATCCTTAGAGGAAGCGACCATTGCGGCATTGAAAGTGGAATAGTAGCTGGATTGCCCTAATAGTCTAACACTAGATGAATCTCAATAATTAATAATTTCTTTAAATTGATGTTTTGCTATGTTTTTCTTACATAAATTTTTTTTGTAGTTATTTAGATGAAGATACCAAATATTTGTGATTGTTGAGTTACACAGTTAGTTTGTATTGTGATTTGAATAAATAAATTAGTTTTAAGAAACAGGGCGTATCATTGAATTGTTTTTTCTTCTTCTCCTTATCATCATCATCTTTGGCTCTACAACTCTGGGTGGGTCTTGGCCTGCTCAAGAATTAGTCTCCATTCTCCCTATCTTTCGCTCTGGCTTTTCAATTTCTGGCTCATAGATTTCTAAAGTCATCTTCGACTTGAGTTTTAAATCTAGATCTTGACCTGCCTCTCTTCCTGGTTCCTACTGGCTCTTGATATAATATCTGTCTTTTGGGGGTCTCCAGTGTTCATTCTTTCAAGGTGTCCTAGTCACTTTTGTCTATAAATTTTAATAGACCGGACGATGTTGCATTTTTCATAGCATTTATACAACTCAGAATTGTAGCGCCTGCGTCATATCCCTCTTTCTTGTACTCCTCCGTATATGTGCCTAAGTATTCTTCTTTCAAAGCTGCCTAATAGTTCTTTGTCGCTTTTTACCATAGTCCATGTCTCTGAGGCGTACGTCAGGACAGGTTTAATAAGAGTGTCATATATTAGTATCTTGGTTTTTCTGCTAATGATGTGTGATGTTAAGAACTGCTTTAGTCCAAAGTAAGCTCTGTTTGCCAGGTATATTCTTCTCTTAATTTCTACGCTTACTAGGTTTCTGTTATTTAGTTGTGTTCCAAGATATATAAACTCCGAGACCCCTTCGAATGTGTGTGCTTTTGTCACCAGATCTTGTGGTGCCGCTATTTGTGTGCTGTTCGTGACCTTCATGTATTTTGTTTTGGATACGTTGACCTGCAGTCAATTATCTTCGGCTTTTTCTAATGTTTCAAAAGCCTGTATTAGGTCTCTTTTTGCCCTAGTTACTATGTCAATGTCATTTGCGTAGGCGAATATCTGTACACTTCTATTGATGATCGTACCTCTGGTTGTTATGTCCGATTTCTCTATGGCTCTTTCTAGCGCGATGTTAAACAATAAGCATGATATGCTGTCTCCCTGGCAGAATCCAGTATGTGTTTGAAAAGACCTTATTACTCTGTTTTGTACTTTGGCTTTGCACTCAACTTTCAAAAGAATTGCCTTTACCAATGTTACTAGATGCGACGGAATATCTAGTTCTGCCATGGCATTATAAAATGCGCTACTGTCTACACTGTCATAAGCGCTTTTAAAATCTATGAAGAGGTGGTGGGTATCAATTCCATATTCATATGTCTTTTCTAAGGTTTGTCTGAGAAGGAAAATCTGATCAATTGTTAACCCTTCTTTTCGGAATCCACATTGGTATTTGCCTATTTTTTTCTCGGTATATACTAGTAAACGATCATAAAGTATATAAGCCAGTACTTTGTAAGCCGTATTTAAGAGGGTAATGCCTCAATAGTTGTCACATATTAGTGGATCCCCTTTCTTATGAATAGGTATCATAATAACTACATTCCAACTGTCTGGGAGTTTTCCTTCTCACCAAATGAATGCAACAAGTTTTATTATGTATTTTTTAGCGCGTTTGCTCTATCTTCTTCTTGTGGTGCCTATGCGTTACGGATGTTGGCAGCAATTCTCACTTTATTGACCGCAGCTCGAAATAGTCCTGAAGTGGTCAAGGAAAACCATTTTCGTAAATTCGCGAGCCATGATATTCTTCTTCTTCCTGGTCCCCTTTTTCCGTAGACCTTTCCCTGTAATATAAGTTGCAGCAGGTTATATCTATGGTCGTTTCGCATTATATGTCCACGATATTCTAGCTTGCGCTGTTTGACTGTGGATATAATTTCACATGTCTTATCCATCCGACGTAGAACCGCAATGTTTGTTACTCGGTCCACCCAGGAGAGCCTCAGTATCCGTGTATAACACCACATTTGCTCCATACTTGAACCATTTCTAGGGCAGTTATTATTTCTTCCAGTTTTTATTTTCTTCACAGAAGATATGTATCCAGATACATATCTTCTGTGGTTACATGGGGATTAACTACTGAATATTTGAAAAATTTTCCCCTAATTTTTATTTTGCATATTCTGTCGCTTATGGCTTCGAAGTCTATTACCAGGTGCTTCACTCTGCTGCTGACTATGAATCATGCTCCAAGTTTATGCTCTGTTGGGTGGCAGCTATAGTACATTGTATATTTTTTTCTCGAATATTTTTCCCAACCACCTAACTTCTAACCAGTTTACCCGCTCTAGTCAGTTTCCACCCCAACTTTCCACCCGGGTTGGATACCGGATCCCCAGTTGGGTTGCTCGGTTTAACAGGGACACCAGCGTGAAAGTGAGAGTCGGATTTGAGTAGAAGAGGCTAAGTGGAGTAAACTGGAAGCATCTCCATGTTTTCGCATTCCACCACTTTACCCCCAGGGTAAAGGGGTGGAATGCTTATTCCTGTTTTATTAATAGCCTCATAGCTGTTTTACTTCGAATTTTCGCCGCATACACAAGTCAATAGAGAAAAAAAGCTGAAAAAATCTTATACATGGTGTTGAAGGTTCTAAAAGGTATATGAGTGATAGCTGATGAGAATTCTGTAAAGACGTACAGCTAATTTTGCTTTGTTTTTTTTTTTTAACAATCATAAAGATGGAAAAATCCATTTTTTCTTTTGCCTATAAAACGTTTCTTATACATTTTAGAGAAAAATGTTTCAAATAAAAGTTGTAAATTTAACACTGTCTGTAATTTTTGAGTTTCTAAATTGAAATACATAAACAATTAACAGATAATTTCCAAAAATCCTTATTTTGCAGTTGCAGTAATTTATAAATGTTAATAACTTTGTTTTTTGCATCATGAGATGGGGATCCGGTTCTGGAAATCGTGCTAGTTAGACGTGTTTAAATTTGCTTCGAGATTTGTCTGAAATTTTGGGTGGTTTCGAGTATAATTTGCATACAATAAATAGTGCAAAGTGTAGTTAACGATGATTTTTATGGAGTAAGTAAATCGGTTATATGTTTTGGATTATATTATCATCGTTATTCTGGCTTTACAACCCGCCGTGGGCTCTAACCTCCTCAAGAATTTCTCTCCAGTCGTCACTATCCATCGCCTTCCTCCGCCAAGCACGTATTCCCATATTTTTGTTCTGGATCTTATTCTTTTTCTTTGATCAATGGGTCTATCAACGAGCGTTTTCTAGCTGGGTCATTTAGTTCCATCCGCATTACGTGCCCTATCCACCTCAGGCGTCTTATCTTAATATGTTTTACGATATCTGGTTCCTGGTATATTCTATAAAGTTCGAAGTTGTATTTTCTTCTTCACTCTACATTGTCATTTACTCACTGCTCCATAAATTCGCCTGAGTGCTTTTCTTTCGAAACACCCTAACATGTTTTCATTACTTTTGTTAGAGTCCAGGTCTCTGATCTATACGTAACGACTGGGCGTATTATTGTTTTGTAGAGTTTGTCATCATGTGGTACCGGGTAGCGGGTGGATACTTCTCTGCAATCCCGGCAGGGGATAGATCTACTTCAGAAATAGCACACCTACCCACGCGAGCTCATGGATTTCCCTAGCCTTCCATCCCCGGGGAAACCACGTCCAAACCCAAAGCATTCCCATCTCCACCCTTTCCTCTCTTTACCTCCAAACCAAATCGCCAACACGCACTAGCCAAGCGTGGTATTTTAATGGCTTAAAACCCCAAAAGTTATTTTCCATGAAAGACTAAACTACTGAACGGCCCTCAGTCTCCGGCGGCTGCAGCACTCCCAAGAAAGGTAGCGGTTGGAACAGGTTTGGAGTAGAGGGTGCTAATAATCCCCGGAAAAAATCAGGCTACTACCAAGAGCGACAAATGCATATTACTTCATACACTGTTAGAACTCTTATATCAGACCAGAAGATGATAGAACTGGAGGAAGAGCTGAAAAACAAAATGGGACATTATCGGCCTCAGTGGCTAAAAATTAATAAAAATTTTTTTTCAAATATTTTTGATTACTATTTATAACTGGGAATAAACCACAATTAAAGATAAAAATACGTTTATTGACGTTTCAATAAAATTTCAAACAAAAAACAAAATTTGTTTAATTTACTGTTTGTATTTTGAGAACGATTTCCGAATTGGAAATTAAAACGTCAATAAACGTATTTTTATCTTTAATTGTGGTTTATTCCCAGTTATAAATAGTAATTAATATACAATGCCACAAGAAAATAGCTTCAGAACAATACAAATATTTTTGGTTAAAATAAACGTAAAAATTTTTTTTGAAATAGGGCTCTACAGGGTGTCCTTGTCGGTAGCTTCTGGATTCTCGCCAGGTAGGTAAAACCCTCGGAGGAGGATAAATAAAGTTGAATAACATTATTAGGACTTATTCCGACTTTTGACAAACCAGTGTGTTTATTGTATTTAAAATAGGAAATTTTATATAAATAAGCAGTAAGTACCTATACTTTTATTAAATTTTTATATGAATAGAAATATTTTAAAATTAATGGGAAAAACCCCGTAATTGGCTGTATACCATCGTTTAAAAAACACAGAAGTTAAAACACTTCACAATTGTGTATTTTGGTATAAAAACATACAAGTACTTAAAAACTTTTTAAAAGTGTCGTCAACATTTAAAATTCTGGCAGAACGTTTTCAATCTGTACAGATCATCTTCAGTGCCTTTTGTATTTGGTGCTAACAATAAGGTGTCTATAAGACTTCCATGTGTGGATTTACAAAATATCACATTTTACATTTAATAATGTTAAGACTCTAGGTCGATGACAATGGAATTGTTTTTAAAATTAAAATTTACTTTAGGGACTACATGTCTCTTAAGCTCGAATACTTGCACGTGAATGCACAAATATTTTCTGTTGATTTTCCATTTTCCTTCTAAATATTTATACTGCTTGTATAATAATACAATTGTTTCAGTATTTGCTTATATAATGATAATTTATTATATAGAAACAGCGTAGAGTCTTGGTCTTGGTCTTGGTATTATTTTCTTTTCTTCTTTACATGAGCTCAGAGTAATAACCAAATATTTTGCAGTATTTGAATATGAAATTTAA